TCTTTCTTTCTTTCTTTCTTTCTTTCTTTCTTTCTTTCTTAACTTTAATGTTAACTAATTAGTAACAATTAAAAAAAAATATATCCAATTTTCAGCACAATTATTATAATTCCTATCCTTTATATATCTTTTATACCATTAATAGACTCAATCCTAATTATTCTAAGAAAAATATATGAAAAGTCTGACTTTCCTAATGATCGGGAGAAAGCGACCGTAATATTATTCTTTAAGACATCCCAAATTGTCTTCAAAAATTATACCATATTTATCCATTAAAATAGATATATCTTTATACATTCTCTTCAATTTCATGACTTCTAAATCAACAATTTGATTTTCATTAATTTTTTTATTTTTAAAACTATATGATTTAACAATTAATTTCATCAGAAATTTACTCATATCAGAATTACTTCTTTTGCTAAATCTTGCATTTCTATTTCATGAATTTTATTTCTGACATTATACATCACTATTTTGTATTTAGTATTTTTAATATCAAATCACTATTTGTTGTAAAAGAATTCCAATAATTGTTTAAAGGCCAATTTTAGCAATCCAATCCCAACCTATAATAATTTCAACATCTTTTTCTACCACCCATAAATCAAGAGAAAAAAAAATGTTATATCATTTTAAAATCACTCCCAATTTTGGTTTTACCCAAGATTAAAATTTCAGATCCATCAAATTGTCTCATTGATTCTTTCTCAAGTGTACTCTCAGCCCAATAACTTTTTCGAGCCCCAGTCTCAACAACATTTCATTATTTTGTCTATCAATTTTCACATTAACACGAGGACATGAACACTGATTAACCTCTCTTCTCATTCATTAAATAAAATTTTATTCATTCTAATCAGCTGAATTATATTTATTATATTTGAATTATCACCAACATCACTAATATTCATCATGACTTATGAATTTAATGGCTTCTGAATATCAATAATTTTTTTTATTAATTATATCAAAAAATTTTTAACAACACAATATATATCACAAATTTTATTATAATATATGATTTTCTGTTTTTATACGATTCTCTTTCAAATACTATAGTCACTGCGAATTTAATTCTTAAACATAAAACAAGATCAACGTCTTACCTACCTTTAATCATATTATAAAATATAATCGAAATAGTCACCTTATATAAAATATAATCGAGATAGTCACCTTATATAAAATATATATATTTAAATATAAAATTTAGGCAAAAACATATGAGTTGGCCTATTTTTTTTTTCCAAAAACTGATATTATAATTTTTAAAATTTTAATAAATTAAGATCCATCAGATGGCGTAATAATCAATATGTAAAATATATTTATTTTAAATATCATTTTAAATAACATCAAAATACAAGAAAATAATATCTATATAAAATTGATTTTATTTTCTACTAACATATTTTCTTTCATGATAAACAGCTGTTCATTAAATGTGTAAAAATTTACTCTATTCTATTTTGTAATACCATTAAATATTATCAATTTTTTAAAAATATATGATTGGTTAAATATCTTTATTCTCTATGATATTTTCTTTCTTAGATGGCAGAAAGGTTTGGGCTTCTTCTTGCCAAATCTTGAGGCTTACACAATATTATTTTGGCTAAAAAAATCAATACAAATCGGGTTTTTAACAGCACTAACTTGAATGGGATCGAATCGAATTTCGAAATGTGCGCAACTTATATATTTATA